CACACACACACACACACACACACACACACACACACACACACCTGTGAGTTGGAGAGAAAATCGAGAAAATGTACCTTGGCCTGTGTTACCATAAAATACGACAAGAGGTTGATGTCATTCTTGGGCTTTTCTTTACCTTATAATATGAAGTTCCTTGAGGAGACAACTGTTTTGATTTGGCGCCTAATCAACAAAATCAAATTGAATTAAACTGAATAAAGAGCAGACAAATGATCTACAATAGTGTATTCTGCAGCGCACAAAGCATTACTCTTTCCTGGGATAATAGCAATCCTGTTCTAATCTTGATATTAATAGAGAAGGGCTGATAATTTCCTGTCATAAAATTGCAGCAATATGTAATGCCTTTGTTTTCTTTTTTTTGTCCTCTGTTTTTGTCTTTTACAGTATCTGAACTCAGAATTGTGATTCTTGGAAAAAACAATGACGATAAGACAACGCTGAGCACTTTCATCAGTGAAAGATATAACTGTCCTTATCAAAAGACAAACAAGCAGTTTACTGAAATTAAAGGAGAGTGGAGGAGAACTCCATTCACTTTATTGAAAACATCAAATATCTTCATTGTGCCTGCAGAAAGAGTGCGATATGAGATAAAAATGTGTATCGCACACTGCCAACCTGGACCAAATGTTCTGTTGCTCCTAGTAAATCCTTTGGATTTCACCGAGGATGATAGACAAAAAATGAAGTTCATCGTGAGTTTCTTTGGACGAGATGCTTTTAAACACTCATTGGTCATCACAACACATAATGACAGGGGAGGGAATTCCTCAGTGAACCAACTCGTCCAAGACTGCAGACAAAGACAGCACAAAATCAGGCTTGATGAAAAATATTTTCTTGAACACGATCTTCAAGAACTGATGAAACAAATGGAGAAAATAGTAAGTGATAACAGGGGGTATTTAACTTTTACTGAAGACGCTGATCCCGTTGTGGTGCCTAAAACTACAAAATCCCCTCTAAACCTGATTCTGTGTGGGAGAAATGAAAGCTTGAAAACGTCAGCTGTTAATGCCATTCTGGGACAAAGAAAATGTATTCCATCTAAGAGCTCATCAGAGTTGACCAAACACCAGGCAGAGGTTTGTGGCCGTCGTGTTTCTGTGCTGGAGCTGCCTACTTTGCACGGAAAACCTAAAGAGACGGCGATGAATGAATCGTACAAGTGTGTCGTCCTCTGTGAACCTGAGGGTGTCCATGCCTTCATGCTGGTCCTTCCACTGGACCATCCTACTGATGAAGACAAGAAAGAACTGGAAGCCATCAAGAATACTTTCAAGAGTGTGATCGATAAGTTCACTGTCTTGCTTTTTATTGTTGAAAATCCAAATCTTGACCAGTCTTCAGCAGTGGAGAAGATTCTAATAGACAACAGAGACATCCAAGAGCTCTATAAGCGCTGCGATAAACAACACATCGTTTTTGACATAAAGGATAAGCATCAAGTCGCTGATTTGTTGCATACTGTGGAAACAATGAGAACTGTCGGTTGCAGAAGCTTCACAAAAGATATGTTTCCAAAACCTCCACTGAAACCAGTTTCAAGACATGTATCCCTTTTAAAGCCAGAAAATTATAGACATCGCTGGACACCACCTATTAGGATGGTGCAAAGCAGAGAGCCTCTCAGGATGGTGCTGATTGGGAAAACTGGTTCTGGGAAGAGTGCCACTGGAAACACCATGCTGGGCAAACAGTGCTTTTATTCAAAAGTCTGTCTGAAGTCTGTGACAAGTGTTTGTCAGAAAGAAACAGGAGTGATTGACGGGCGCCCTGTCGTTGTGGTTGACACGCCCGGCTTGTTTGACACGATTTTGTCCAATAAAGAAGTTGAACAAGAGCTTGTTAAATGTATCAGCTTACTGGCTCCTGGACCTCATGTGTTCTTACTGGTGGTGCAGATTGGTCGCTTTACAAAGGAAGAAAAAGATACCGTGGAGCTCATCCAAAACTTTTTTGGTAAGAAGACAAAGGATTTCATTATTGTCATATTCACCAGAGGAGATGATCTTCGAGGTCAAACATTTGAGAGTTATATAAAAGAAGACAGCGAAGGATTCCTAAAACAACTGTCAGCTGATTGTGGAGGGCGATACCATGTCTTCAATAACAACGATCATAACAATCGTTCTCAAGTCAGTCACCTTCTGACCAAAATTGAAATGATGGTGAGGAAGAATGGTGGTGGCTACTACACCTCAGAAATGTTTCAAGAAGCAGAGGCAGCAATACAGATGGAAATGCAGAAGATCATGAAAGACAAAGCAAGAAAGATAGAGAGTGAAAAGAGGGATCTTATAAGAAAATATGAGGAGGAAATGCAAGTGAAGAGGAACAAGTTAACACATCTAACAGCCAAATTTGAAGAAGAAATAAAAGCAAACCAAGCCCAGGTAGCCAAAAAAATGGAGGGTTGCATTAAGAAACAACAGGAAAATATGAATAGAGAAAGAAAAAAGAGAGAAGAAGAACAAAGGACTAAGAAATTGGAGGAGAAGGACCAAATTTATAAGTGGGATAAAGAAGATGAAGCTCTGCAGAAAGAAATACAAAGACAAGAGATTCCTGCTGGGATCTTATTACAGAACAGAGAAACAATAAGAAAAGGAAGAAAGGCTTGGGAAGAGGAAAGAAGAGCATGGTGGGATAAACAATGTTTAGAGGAGGAACAGAGATTTTGGGAGGAACAGAGACAACTTAAAAAGCTCAGAGAGGAAGCTATGCAGGAACTAGAGAGATATGAAATCAAAAGAAGACAAGAGGAACGAATCGGAAGAGAACAAGAGGAAAGACAACTGAAAGAAAACTATAGGAAGGAACTGGAAGAAATGATGAGGAAACATGAAGAGGAGGCCAGAAAACAAGCTGAAGAATGCAATGAATTCAGACAGAGATTTAACCAGGATATATCAGCTGAGATGGAAAAATATAGAAATGAAACAGAAGATTTGAGGCAGAATCAACAAAACCAAAATGACTTCATGATAATGCAGCTCAGGAGAAAAAAGGCCTATGACAAAGACTTTGACAAGCTGCAGAAAAGACAACAAATTCAAATGACTAACCTAAAATTATCAAGTTTGCACTTTGACAGTAAAGAGCAGCTAAACAAGCAAATTGATGAGCTGAAAAAAGCGCATCAAGAGGAGATAAATGAGTGGATTCAGGAACATGTGAAGAAAGCCACACAAAATAGCGCTTGTAGCATTTTATGAGAAGTTTTGCGTTTCAGTGTTGTTCAGTTTTTCAGTGTTAGATGTATTATATGTAAAGTCTGTATAAATAAAGTGATCACCATAGCTAATGGGTTTTGCACATGCAGGTCAGAGTAGCTGTAAAAGACAGCCAGGGTGGCAAGTTTCACTTTGTAGACATTTATGGATTTCTTTTCTTTTTTGCCATTCGACAAAGGTCAAATGAAGTTTACTTAAAAGCATTTACTCTGTTAATATATATGTATTCTTTTTTTTTTTAAAGACAATTGGAAAAGGAAGATGTAGAATTGCTGACAAAGTACATTTATTTTTATTTCACAGGGAGCCTTTTATTCTTGAAAATTGTCACTCCAGTGATAAATTTATGTACAAAAATAGGCAAAGACTGCAACAACACTTTTGAAAAAATGTTGTTCTTATTTTCTTATATTTTCTCTTATATTCATGTTATTAATCACCACGGACGATCTGATATCTTCGTGTTGGTGTTTTTCCCACATCATCATAATAAATGTTGTTCCATGTTCAACATTGCAAGTGACCAATCACATTGTTGTGACGTCGCCCTTTTGTGCCTTTGAAAAATCTACTTCACTTGCGAGAAGAGAAACCGCTTCTGTCCGCCGACCCAGGAACTTGAATTCTTTGCATTTCAGGATACTTTTCTTTAATAAACGGTAAGCATTATACATATTGTCCTTACAGAGGCGGTTTCTCTTCTCGCAAGTGAAGTAGATTTTTTGAAGGCGTTTGTTTTTTTCGAGGTCGCGGATGACCTCAGGAGGTGGTGATTGGTCACTTGCAATGTTGAACCTGGAACAACATTATTTATGATGACGAGGGAACAACACCAACACGAGGATATCAGATCGTCCAATCACCACACTGGCAGAGAAAGCATGTCTTACACTGCAGTGCCAATCAGCTGGAGATTGTTACCTGTCACTTTGTTAAATTGGTCATAAAGAGGTGTAAATAAATAAGTAATGGTGCTGCACAGAAAACCACTTTGTGATTTTTGATTTTACTTTTTAGCTGGTGTTTCTAGTTGAGCTCTGCACCAAAGGACAGCTACGACGAGGACGGAACATGTATGTGTGTCAGCTCTGTTGACTGCCAACATACAAACTTATCTTCAGTGTGTTATTACACTGACCTCTTCTTTTTGAAACACTCCTTATAAATGTTCTGGTTGCTTGTTTTGGTGTCTGTTATTATCAGCTTATTATTCATATGTAAATCTTCACTTTAAATCTCAATAGAATATGCTACACAAATTAAGCTTGACTGATTGAGAAAAAAAAATCTTTACAGAAGTGAACATATTGAAATAAACTAATAAAAGGTGACTGACCTGTAGGACCACCTATTCTTTATCTTGCATTGACTTGTATTATAAATTATGTGAATGGAATCAAACTAAAGTCTAAATAAACATGAGAGTCCAGTTTGAGACTTTTCTCCAATTGGCTCTTCATTACAGTAGGTCAGAGTTTTACTGCGTCCTTGTATATTTTTTACTGCACAGTAACTTTATATACTGTCAGGTAGGTTTGTGTATCACAAAGAAAAATAATTTATTAGCAGATTTGACATTAATGGATGAATATGATCTTATACCTAAATAATAACTAACTGTAGGAGACTAAAAGAAGAAAAAAGTACTATGTTACATTCCACCACTTCTTTCCTTTCTGATAACGCAGAACATTGTCAGATTGAAAGGAAAGGGTTGGGCAGGTGCATAGTTTGACAAGGTGTTTCATGTTTCAGGCGTCATTACTGAAGAGAGAGAGAGAGAGGGGGGGGGGGGGCAGGTTGGGTGCTGCCAAAGTTTGTTTTTCCTTCAGGGAACCACACCACTTTACTTGTTGAGTCAAAATCGAAACAAAACAAATCATGCTACAGATGTCACTAGCAAACAGGAAATGTCACCTGAACATGCATATTTTTTTTCTTTTTTTGCTTTGGTGCAAAATTTCTGTAAGCCAACAGGAAAGGCTGAGAACAAGTCCAACAACTAACGACATGCTGCAGAAACCTACAAATCACTGACAGTGACACCCAGGAAGACGAGTCTGTGTTTCAAATGCATTTTGATATATATCCTTAGTGGATAATAATAAAATACCTTAGGTCAGTGGGAAGGGTTAAACCCTTAAAACTCTTTTATTTGAACTGAAGTACACTCAAAAAACTGGTACAATATGAGTGCATACTTGGGATACATGGGATTATTATTTTGTTCCAGTTACACACAGATAAATGGCCTGCCTGCATTTGTATAGCGCTTTATTTAGTCCCTAAGGACCCCAAAGTGCTTTACACTACATTCAGTCATCCACCCATTCACACACACATTCACACACTGGCGATGGCAAGCTACATTGTAGCCACAGCTGCCCTGGGGCGCACTGACAGAGGCGAGGCTGCCGGACACTGGCGCCACCGGGCCCTCTGACCCAAATTAATTGTATATGGCAACCTGTTTAGGTTTCTACTAATTAAATATAAATTGGTGTATGAAGTCTCAGCTTCAGTATCAGTAATTTTTTGCCCATTTGAAGCTGTGCTTTTAGAAATAGTTTCACAACAGCAGCATCATATCTTGACTGTTTGCATGCTTCAGATTTAATCCCAACACTTCATTCTCATTTCACGTGGGCTAAAGTTATGAACATCCTCCTGTGGACAGGTTATACTAGTTTTTACTGCCACACTTTGTTTGTTTAGAGCCCCTAACATTTGCCTTATGGTTGTGGAAGAACTTGAAAAAACAAATGTAGAGAGAACAAGTAAAGTCACAGTCATAAAAATCCAGTATCTGTTTCCTTGACGTACCACAGTTGTCAGTCATCGTTATAGGTTAAGTCATCTGTCTGTCATAATAAGCACAGCTCCGCCTTAGTGAAGTACGTGAGCTGCTTTCCTTTTAGGGTGCTACCTTCATTATTAGCTTTGACACCATGAGGAAGTCATCTGGTGAGTACTTACATTAAAGTATATTTAACAAAAATTTAAAATACATGGACGTATGTGGAGTTCAAATGGTTATCCTTAAACTGTAAAGAGACCAAAAAAACAACAACAACCTTTTAATTGTATTTTTGCTTAGGTATATCAAAAGTAGTATTACCACATGCTCTGACAAAGGGACAATTTCAGTGCAGCATGTTTAAGTATGTCAATGTAATTCAATTCAAAATGTAATTCAGATATTTAGGTTATTTATGCTGAAGCCATTTAAGTCAGAGATTATTCATTGAACTGTATTCATCATATACATGTACTAATGCTTAATTATTACATTTGTCAAGATACCACAGAAATATAGTTTTATGCCAGAACACTTTATGTATTATCTAAGAATACATTTTACATTATTTAAACACTTGTTAGCTTCTTCTTGTGTGACAAAGTCAGCTGATTTAAAGAAAAAACTGCCCCATCCAAACGAACAAAAGGAGAGATACCTTAGACGCACCCTGTTAAATGAGTCTAATAAGTCAGTGAGCAGATACAGAAGGTCCTCTAATTCAAACTCTAATCAAATTAATGTCTTTAGTTCATGGTTCTGAAAAGCTCATTGTAGAAAACACTCCCATAAATACCACAGGTAGACACTCCTGTTTCATAAGGTTGTATCTGCTGAGTGTATATATACACATACATACATTGTATATATATATATATATATAT